ATTTTACCAACGTAAATGTAAACACAACTTGACAGCAGCATTAACAACTATTATTCCTCCCAAATTTTGGGGGCACGGGGGATGCATTTTATAGTCCAAAAAAATGCGGTAACGCAGTCTCTATGTGGCAGGGGGAAGCCCTTTGCATTGTTCAAACTAAATTCCAGGTCAGTCTCTTTCCATTTTGGCACAACTCAGATTCACAGAATTCTACCTTCCGTGAAGCTGGAATCTGTGGTGTTTTAATTCACACTGGCATATAGTCTTAGGTTATAGAGAATATGTTAATCTGATATATATAAGCCCTATAAAAGTTTTCCGGTGCCTTTAAGGTTCTCTCTCAGCCTCTGTCATTCTAAGCATTTCTATCTCCTACAGTTCTGCTCTGTGTGACAGGTTTGCTATTGATATCCCTGTTCTCACTGCTAGACCTCAACACACAACACTTTGTCTGTTCTTCTTAAAGTAAAACGCCCAGATTTGTACACTGCTACACATGATATGCTTAAGGTAAACTAGTATTACCCAAATGGTGGTCTGTAGATCGCATCTCAGCCTTTTGGCTAAGATCAAGGGCAAATCCTGGTCTGTAGATCCTTGGTGGGAGTTTAAGACCCTTTCAGGGGATCTGCATATTAACATTTTGCATAACAATGTTGAAAAATTATTTGCATCTTTTACTTTGTTGACCTTTACAATGATAGTGCAAAATGAATGGCTAACGAGCAGCTAGGCCCTCCCCTGAAACCAGGCCATGGCACCGGTCTGTGCTCTACCTCCGCGCATGCGCAGGGAAATAAAAAGCAGATTTTACTGAAGAGAGTCTTTGATAAAGCAGTAAAAAATATTAACTTCATGAAACGTCCACTCTTGAGTATATGTCTCTTTAATATTCTGCACGAAGAAAAGGAAAGCGCGCAGGTTGCCGTACACCAGGCTGCCTTGGTTGTCTGAAGACAAAGCTCTCATATGACTGAGCTGGGGCTGGCCTGGCCACTTCCTCACGTAATACCATTTTTACTTGGAAGACCAAGTGATGGACAAACTGCTGGTATTCAGACTTAGGTATTTGGAAGACATTTTATTTTCCTGAAAAATGAATGAAGTCACGACAGTAAAAACTGATAGTGTTTGTTGCTTGTGATACTACCTGAGCTTTCAAGAGAAAATTAAAAATTTGGAAAACTTTATTTGCTGCCATAACTGGGACAGCTTCCCCATATTCGAAGACTTTTTGCATGAGACTGGTGGTGATTTTAATGATTGTGATTCTTAGATATGGAATAATGAAATATATTAACGTTTGGAAAATCTGCATAACTCAGTGAACAGACACATTTACCAAACTCAATATATATTATAATTTCATGAATAATTGTAAAAGATGCATTTAAATAGTAAGATAGATGAATGATTTTAATGCAAGAGTATACATACAGGGTTCATTCCTATTGATTTAGACTCAACATTGCAACTTACCTTAAAAATATCACTATTTGTCAAGTTTTGATGTAGTATCTAAGAATATCTAAAAAGACTATTAAAATACTTCTCCATTTCTCAATTACATGTATGTTTAAGGCCAGGTGATATATGTGCAGCAGAGAGCAGATAGTAGAGATTTGCAAAAATAAAAAACACCACACTTCACAAAAAATGTTAGTAAGTTTCCAAGTCATTGCATTTATTATTTCAAATGAATTAATAAGACTTAAAAACTTTTCCAGTCAGCGTTTATTTATTTATTTATTGAAAAGATCTTATTTATTTATTTTTAGAGAGAAGGGAAGTGAGGGAGAAAGAGAGGGAGAGAAATATCAATGTGTGGTTGCCCCTCATGTGTCCCCTGCTGAAAACTGGCCTGCAACCCAGGCATGTGCCCTGACTGGGAATCGAACAGGCAACCCTTTGCTTCACAGGCCCATGCTCAATCCACTGAGCTACACCAGCCAGGGCAGCTTTTATTTTTTAATATGGTAAATATTTATAGATGTATCCTTTATGCACAAGTTTTTTGAAGTTCTCAATAATTTTTGAGGGTATACAGAAGTCCTTTACGTATACAAAAAAAATTGAGAACTACTTATACAGAAAACTAGGAAGGTACAAAAGCCTTTGTGAAAGTCCTTCATTCAGACGTCTGCACCCGTGTTTTGTGTTGTGGAAGGACAGTAGCGACAACATACTGTGAGCTCACGCTGACCCAAGTAACACTCCCGGCTCTGGAGTCCCTTGCTGTGGCGTCTTGTGTAGTGGAAACAACAGGCATTGCTCGGATAAAATGTTTCAGGATGTCAAACGCGAGACATCTATCATCTTCTGATCCAAACAGCTCACGTTTAAAATAGATGTTACAATTTAAATTGACTATCGAATGTTATTCAGTTGTTCGGTGCCATACATAGTTTGTTTGTGAAACTGAATCTCACATCACCTAATGTGATGCTACGTGGCTAGTAGCCGTAATTCAGGCCTGGGACTCAGAAAGGAATTTTGGTCAAATGAAGGTTTGGGGTGTATCCATGGGCACAGAGAATAATTAAATCTATGAAACTCAGTAAGGAAACTAGAAAGCTGAAGTAGGTCAGATAAGAGCACAGGATGAAACCTCAGCTAATGCCTATCAAGCATCAAAATTGGAAGCCAGGAAAAAAGTACTAGGGTTGTTTGAATATCCACAATGGTTATGTTCAGAACCACTGCATTATATTAGGAAGATCTTCATAAGTGTAGAGCTTAGGCACTATGCTCTTAACACAATTTAACACATTCTGTTGTCATAACAACTCTGTAAAGCAGGTATTTTCTCATTTATCAAAGAGGAAGTAGAGATCTAGAGAGGTGAAATCCACTTCCAGGTTCACACAAACAGAGCCCGCATCACACAGACCCACATCAAAGGTGGGGTTTGAATTTCAGGCCTCCCTAAGAAGATGTGATAGATGCATATTTCACCTCCGGTTTTAAATTCTGCTAGCTTCTTTCCGATTCTCTTTGCGGGGGTGGGGGGGTGGGGAGGGGGAGGGGTTGGACCTGATAGAAATGCGTGGATGTGTAATTAGCTTTAAAATTCATCCTCAGTCAGGGAACATTTTACTGTGGCTTTATGGGCCATAAAGTAAGAGGAAGCAAACAACAATGTGTTTTTGTTTAATAAAGAAACCCAGTTTTACTAAAAGTTCTCATTGTTTGAGCTAATAGGAGAGGTAGAGTTAAATACAACGGAGGAATAGCCCACAATCCTGCATTACATATCATATTCATGCAAGTTTAGAGCTGAGGTTAGGTGTCCCCGGGGGGTCCCACAGCTGAACACTCTACCCCTAGATCTGTAATCCACATGTTACGTAAGAGTTCCTGGGTTAAATATAGTTTATATTTTAAATTGTAATTTAGCATTTAAAAACTACTATAAAACTAAAAAACCAAGAAGCAAGAATCTGATTAAGTGGGATGAAATTATATTCTAAAGCTTAAGCCAGTTCTTTTAAGAGTTGAATCACTCAATGCAGGGTTCAAAGGCTGAATGAAGCCTTGAAGGTTTGTAGGGGGAAATTGATCAGTGGGTCTTCCTGAGCGCTGCGAAGTCTTTAGACCAAGATAATGCCTGCCTGAGGTGTAACCGCCCTGTGGGAGGTGGGACGGGGAACGTAAATAGGTAGTACTTTGCAGTTCAGCCCCTGAGGGCTGGTTTGGTTAACTACCTGATATTGCAAAATACCTGACGTCTAATCATATCCCCTCCCCCCCGCCCCCCTACACCCTGCGCGCGACGAGTTTAAAATCCTCGCTCCCAGTTGACTGGGCTTTTCTGTTTTGACTTGGTCATTATTGTTCTAGATAGGTGATAAGGAGCAAGAATCCAGCTCTCAAGGCTTAGTCGAGTTTGCCAGAGGGGTCCAGAGCTCCACGGAACCTTGAAAAGAAAGAAATCTTTTTACTCTGTAATAATTTCAGCGAAATCACAAAAGGCCACTCACTCATTTTTTCCTAAACAGTGCCACCTACTGTCCATTTTAAATCATAGGAGGTCTGTTGGCGAGGACCAAAAAGAAGGGGCGGGAGGAGTAATTGAGAAAAAAAAAAAAAAACTAGCTCTTTTCAGTCTTGAGGGCAATCGGAGAAAGACGAGGAAAGGCTCTCTTGAAGCAAAAATAAGTATTTTGACTCGTCTTCATAGAAAGCTCACAAGAAGCAAAAGCCACTTAAGCCATTCCTTTAGAAATGGCTTTTTAAAGCGCGCTATTCGAATCCCCCAGAGGATTATTTTCATTATTATATTTTATTTATAATGCCTGCCATCAGCGTGCTTTTCCGTTAGGGCACCGGGTTAAGAAAGAAAACGATTATTTTTCCAATTTTCCCGCCCACCCAAGGCGGAAACGTCTGTGTAAGAGGCACAGGAACACTTGACATAAGCTCAGCAACTTCTGACTTGGAGGGAAGAAAGGGTTAACAAGTGGTGGATGGACCAGTCGCCGGCTTTTTAGTCTCAGCCGGCTTTCGGAGACCCCCGGGAGTGTACACACACACACAGCCAGCTCTCTCCCCTCTCCAGGGCGGTTACTTAGCCTAAGGGCACCATTTGGCCCTAAAGCAAATTACTTACACACTACGGGGAGTGTGACCGCAAAGCGGGCATCCTTCTAACTAACCAGTGCAGGAATCAGGGATGTCCACAAAGCGTGGCCTCCGGCTGCACCGCCGGAGGAAGCAGGGACTCAGGTGGTGGCCAGCCAGGGTGCCCTGCATCTCCGCACACGTTAGCAATCAAGTTAATTGAATTCATTGGAGTTTAGAACCGGCCCGGAGCTCAGAGAGGGCTTTGAATGGCCAATTTCTCTCCCCCTCCCCGCCTCCCGCCCGCCCGCGCTCCCAGTTCCCTCCCCTCCGGCCGGGTTTCCCAGTCCGCACCTCCCTTCTCCACTCCCCTCACCCCCCACTCCTTCCTCCGCCCTATTAAAACACCCACCAGCTCACTAGTTAAGACCCCCTTAAGTTGGAGGAGGCAGAAAGGCAACAACTGCGAGGAAGGAGAAGTCAGCACGTCTGGAAAGAATTACCCAGTCCTGGCTTCCAGCAGCCCATTGAACCAGGGACTTGAACCAGCCCCGGCCAAAGACTTTCTCCCGATTCTGCGCTTCCAGGCTTCTGTTGCGTCTTCACCGGGCTTTTTTTTTTTTTTTTTAAATTTTAATACGAAAAAGTGAAGAGACTTTCCGATATCGGGGGAGAAGGACTGGAGCAAACGAAATAAAAATAAAAATAAATTAATTTATTTTTAAAGTACAAATTTTTCTTTTAAGAATCAGGAGACTTAAGTGCAACGGAAATATCAGAGGATAGTGGCGAAATTTACTTTTGAAGTGGGGGAGAACCAAACCTTTAGACTCCCCCCCATCCTTTTTTAAATGTTGTTTTTAAATTTTTTATTTTTCTTGGCCGGCCGTCTCAAATTCATCTGATTTCTTATTACCTCAATTTTGGAAACCACCCGCCACCGGCCCTCCGGGACCACACGTACAGGCTGCGGACAACTTCATGACCAAGAGCTGAACAAGGTACGTCCCACTGGCGCGATTTGGTGAAGGATCAGGGTCCTGGGATAGGCCAAGCAGAGGGAAGAAAGTATCCACATCAGTGTTAAAAAAGTCTTTATACTCAGTTCTCCACTGCAAAGTCTGAAAATTTCCAACAGACTAAGAAAAAAAAAAAGCCAGTGGATGTTTCAGATCGCTGTCAGGCTTAGCGACATCTTTTCCCCATCCCTGTGGCGCTCTCCCGAAATCCGCTGCCTGGCTGGAGCGCAGGTAACCTCTGTGCCGGGAAAGGCTGCCGTCCCGGGAGGTACTTTTCCATTCCGCATCTTCTGGAGCTGCCGCGGGGCTCCCGGGTTAGGAAACAAGAACTTCCACTGTGTAAGAAAAGCGTATCCGCACAGCCGCCTTCTTCCCCCTTCCTCTCCCTTTTCTTTTTCTCACACCCTCGATGTGGGGAGGAAAACCCTGGAACAGCTCAGCGTGTTTTACTTACCAGTGGGAAGTCGCTTCTTACTTGTAATGCAAAGGGTTAAAGCGTCCGGGGCTCCTAGCTGGGACCCCAAAGAAGGAGGGTCCTTTCCCCACCTCCTCGCCGCTACCGGCCGCGCTCGGCCACACCCCCTCTCTCCAGCCTCTGTTCCCTCGTACTCCCTGCACCCCATTAAAGTGTCAGGCTGGGTCTGTCGCAGCCCAGCCGGGTCCGGAACCCTTACCCAGGTCCCGGGTCCCGGAGGCGAGCGGTCCCAGACCTGAGGGGAAGGAGGGCGCGCCCGCCGGCTGCCCCGGGGCAGGGCTTGCCTGGGGACGGCGCGCCGCACGCCGGCAGCTGCAACCTCCCGGGAGCCAGTTCCGACGTGGCACCGAACAGGCTGTAGCTTCTTCCCACAGCTGCAGCGGGGGGGACCGCCGGGCGGGGGGTTGGGGGCGCCGTTCCCCGTCCCCCAGCCCGAGGGTGCGGGAGGGGGTCGGCCTGAGCCCGGGGCGAAGGTGGGAAGCGCGCCAGAGGCTGGATTGGGATGGATAATCAACACCTTGGGCGGAATTCGTCACGCTGGTTCCCGCCCTGCGTGAGCCGGGCTCCGAAACTGGTCCCTGTGAACAGGAGGGCGGGCCTGAAAGGAGGGTCTGTGTGAGGGCGAGAACGGGGAGGCGAGGGAGGCTTTTTCCTCCAGCCAAGGAAACGCAGCCGAGGGGAAACGGCGCTGAAAGGATAATTAAGGCTGGAAAGAGGAGCTGGGAGCGGGGAGGCGGTGCCTGGGGAGGAGGCTTTACAAGACCCGGCTCCTATTACACAGTCTTAGGTGCCAGCTTCCCCCGTGCCTGTCCCTCCGTCCCCCAAACGCCCGCGCTCAGCACTGGGGCTCCCCCGCCCCGTGGGCCTCCCGGGAGATGGGAGAGGAGCCACCGGTGGGAGCCCTGACGGCCCCTCCCTGCCCTGTTCTCCACTCTCGGTGAGCGCCCCTGCGAGGGTCTACCTAACAGCAGCCCAGAAACGCTGCGTTCTTTCAACCCACGTGGCTGGCCTGGGATTGCCTTTGACGTCACGCCGAGGGGGGAGGTGTGATGCAATAGGTCTGGGAGTCCTCATTGGCCACGAAGGGCTTCCCCAGACTCGAGGTCTGACTATATATATAGACTTACAGCTCAGTGTTACAACGAAGGAAGTTAGTTGGTAGTTAGGTTTTGCTGACGAGCGAGGAGCTTGATAAGTGGGAGAAGAGCGACTTCTCTCCCCATTGTATATTTCATGGTTTTTTGTTTTACCTCCTATAGGTTCTTAATTGCAGTGAAGGCAAATAATGTACCTTTAGAGATGTTAAATGTAATTACGATTTTTAAAAATCATTTTAACAAAATTTTAAAAGAAACACATTCAAACATTCCAACAATGAAAGGTTTAGAATTTTTAAAATTTTACAGAATAGGATTGAAAAGAACTCTGAATTCTACAGTTTTCATTCAAGTGTGTGCAAGTTGACACATTAGTTTTCACTGCATTTTTTAAAAGGCCAAATAAGACTGATTACTCATACAATGGAGATGGTTTTAATACCCATCATCACCCATCAAAGGTTTTTCTACTATTTTGGCGATTCTTTTACATTTTCAATAAAAGTTTAACTATTTAAAGTACCTATTTTAGTATGCATATTATGCTGTGTATGTGATTGAAAATTTGAAACAATTTTAGAATTCTAAGTAGACATTTCTGGGTTATAGCATTGCAGTTGGGATACCATTACTAGTTTTTTTTTTTCCTTCTAATTTATATATTACCCAAGTTGAATGGATAGAAATTGTGTTGTAGATATATTGATAAACATTTACTACCTGAGTTGCTGGTATTGCACCTAGAACTAAATCCTTACTTTACCAGAGAGAAAGTTAAGCAGCTTATAGAAATTCTGGGTCTTGACTAAAAATTTGAATGTCATTCTCCACGAAGCAAAGATATTTAGTCAGTTATCTTCCTGGAAAACAGGTATTGTACAGTGAAATAAGAAACTGATACTAGAATGTAAGTTGGATTGTGTTATTACTTTTGTTAAGTATAGAATATCCCCACTATATTGAATTTCATGAATACTTTTTCCCACGTGGTTTCCTTACCATCTAAGATTTCTTCCAAAATGATTTTCTTCTTGAATTTTTAAACACACTTTACACTGTTTCATTTGTTTTCTATTAATCGGCACGATGGGGAAAGTCCTTATCTCTAGATCAGTATCAAGACCCCCTCCCTTGGCAAAGTTACATTACAGTTTTATATATTTTTTAAGTCATTACCTGAGGATATGTTTTGATTTTGGAGAGGGAGGAAGGGAGAGAGTGAGTGAGAAGCATCCATCCGTTGCCTGATTGCCTCCCATCTGTGTCCCAACTGGGGATGGAACCCACAACTAGCTATGTGCCCTGACCAGGGATCAAATCAGAAGCCTTTTGGTGTACAGGACAACGCTCCAACCAGCTGAGCTACCCTGCTGGGGCCACAGTTATATTTTAATCAAAGAATAATCAGTCTGATACATCACTAGCTTCCTGACTTTTACATAATGTGTATGTTGGGAGGTGAGTTAATGAAGTTGGAGAGCAGAGCATAAAGCCCACTGTCCCATTCTGGGTTCTCTTTTTTTATCCATGCACACCGAGGCTGTGTTCTACTGAGAGGGTGCAAGGACACAGTGGCAGCTGGTATGACAGCTCAATGGGGGTGACAGGTCCCTGTAGATAAATCACCCCCCCCCCTTGGCTTTGATCCTTTCCTATCTAGCAGCAATTGGCATAAAGTAAGTATCATCCCATTGCGTGTACCTTAAATTATTCAAGTCTATTTTGAATTCACCTATGTGGACATCATATACTGCCTTACCCAAAATCTAGAAAAATATTACTGATACAGGAGTCAAAATAAATATTACGGGGTCATACTGTTAAGTATTATTTAAAGAAATATTTACAAGTGAATGCCTGGTAAATGCATACATCCGTACTGCACATTGAAATGAATAGGATGCAGTCTGCATTTTAATGGAACTCACTGCACAGAAAGTCTTTAGATAGGAGCTGACCCATAAGAAATGTAAAATAGCTCCTGGCGGTCGCATGTCTGACAGATCTGAGGCACTGAGTCCGGCCCTTCACGGTATCATGTCTAACCCCCTACGCTGCCCCTCCTCCCCAGAGCAAACTGTATGTGGAGGCGTGCCCAGAAAGATTAATCAAGGCACGCAAAGTCACAGTGCTAGTAAGGCGTGTGGATGAAATTTAATTCAAGAAGTAGTAAATATAATGCCCTGGAAGTGGACACGCCACAGGTGGATTAGTCAAATTTTATGGGGCCTAAATCGAGGAGAAATCATAGCTGAGAGATGGGGAAGATTTCCTGAAGAAACTTGACATTGGTGGTACGTGTGGCCCCATAGGGTTTTGATCTGTAAAAATAGTGCCCATGGAAAAACAGAATTAAGATTCTGTGTCAAGGCTTTTTGTCATGTTCCCCTTTGCCACACTGAACTTCAGGATGAAAATTCAGGAACCCACAGGGCAGTTGGGAAAATTGGCAGCTTAGGAGCAGTTGGTCAACATTGATGGTGCAAATGAAGAGAAATCTACAACTGAAAGGTCTGGATGCGGACCGAGCTGTGGGGGGGGGGGGGACAAGGCCTTTGAAAAGCTTACTGCCTAACCCTGCACGCACAGCCCCAGGGTCTCTGCTGCTGGAATAACTGGTGGGGCTGGAGAGAACAGGGCAACTTCAAAGCCCGTGTAGTATGGGAACCACAGTGCGCTCTTCCCCTAGGTCAAGCTTTGCTGCTTCATTTTATCTTAACTGGGCATTTTGATTTCTGAACTTTTAAATCTGTGCTGATTCCGATCTGGGTGGGACTTACTTGTAAGGACAGCTGTGTAATATCATTGCTTTTATTGATCTGTTACAAGTAATGAAGCATACCTTAGACTTCAGTCTGCCTCACACTACATACATCACTCCTCTCACACCCCGCACTGAACCTTTATTCTCACAGACAACCTGGCATTTGACTGAAAGGCATAGATAAATATGATAAGGATTTTTTCCCCTAAATTTTACCTAGAACTTAAAATTGGGCATGAATGAATTAAAAAAAAATGCATGGTTTTATTTAATATTTTATTTTTCTATTAGAAGAAAATTGTCACCAGTTATTTAAATTAGTACAAATATCTGTAATGCATACATATAAAACAAGTTGTTGCTTAGTTAGGTTGACTTGCAAGATCATGTTTAAAAAACCTTACCAATTAACGTAAAATAAAAATGAGAAGAAAAATTTAACAAAGAATGAAAAAGTGCAAAAGACAAATGCCCTCATGTTCTGATAATATAGTGAAGGAGGGATGATGAGGAATGTCTCTTGAAAAATATTTGGAGAAATCTATGTTTGAGAGTGTATTCTTAGAATTGGCCATCTAGTTACATTACAGAGGCTAGTTAGCTGCCCAAGGAAATGGGCTCTCTCAAAAGAGAGTCATTAAGTTAA